CCCCCCCCCCCCCCCCAAATCTAAGCGCGCAAAATTGCGAGACGGCCGAGTTTTACCCATATTAAACTTTAGTCGATTAAAACTAAATATGCAATCATAAGTATCAGTTTCTCGTTCACCATGGAGAAGGAAAGACACAGAAAACAGTGGTATCATTTTTATTAGTGTTTACAAAAATTAAAACCAGCTAATAGTTGGATGAAGTTGTCCAAATCTGGCTACAGCCACTAGCTGTCTGCCTTGAAAATGCGCCGTCTGCGGTACCTAGTTATTGGGGCACTGAGGGATCTTTGGAAACCAGCTCTTATTTCCTACCTTTTGGTATGCTGGAAGGCTTTATAATTTATTTGTTTGCAGCCAATTTTCAATCGATGTATATTATATCACAAGTTTCTACCTATATTATTTACCCATTGCCTAAAGCAGAAGTCAACACTTCATGCTATAAACATAGGAGATGTTGGTGATGGAATGTAGGCTATATTTCCGAGTTGTATTGGAATGTGAAGGTAAAATAATAAAGATATGGATATTGGATTATAACAAACTTTTGTTTCAAAATGATGAGTAACTGAAGTTTCAGTTTAAAATCCTACATAATCAATGATGTACAGCTTAGAATATTTCATGCAAATTTGATGTACAAAGAAAACTATAACTGCACTTTTCAAAGTAACTGCAGTAGACTGGCAAGAGAAAAGTTTGTACTGATAATCTTTTAATCTGCCATCCAGGTCCAGGCTATCCATGCTTGCACCAATGTTTGTGACTGCCTGAGCGTATGTGCTGTGTGTGTGACTAGGTGTGAAGCCTGAAGTTCAAGAGATCACGATGAGCTGGTGGGATACTGCAGGAATTACTAACCTTGCCTCACAAGCCTTGAAGAATGCACAGAAGAAAATTGACAAAGTCTTGGACATTGATGAGAAGACCAGTGGGTCAAAGAGAAAGAGAGGTGGGTTTGGTTAGTCCTCTTCCCTTGAGCTTTCTCACTGTCACAATTTTGTCTTTGGTCTGTAACACTGATGTACATTTTGTAAAAAGATTTCTTTCTTTCCCCCTGGTCACTATATTTATTGTACAAGAGGTGTCAGTCTTCGCCATGCTGTGTTTATAGAATTAAGCTACAAATGCCACATATATTGGTGGCTCCCTTTGGTTACTTGTCAAATTCTGCAGCAACTGTGACATTCTAGTTTTTTCAAGTGTGAATCAACAAGATTTCCCATCAGTTTACCATGGGTCAGGTTGTTTATTTTACATTGGTGAATTGAACTGTTGTTGGTGGTTTATTACCTCCAACTACCATTTCTTTTAACTCATTCGCTACGCCGAGCCGTGGGGGACGGCGCGGCTGAAGTGCCGTCAGTACGCTAAGCCGCCCCGGCGGCACGAGAAGCGATCTTCAATTTTAGGTTAGATTCTATTCCAATCCACATATCCATGTTAAAATAAAGGTCATAATATAATGTTGACTTCCGGGTCAAGCATTTCCACTGAAAATTGTTGTTACTTGGAACATAAAACAAAGATTTTACACTACTAACCTTCTGTCACATGCCACTATAACAGGAATTAG